TTCTATCATTGTTGTGGTATTTCTGGTATTTGATCGATGTATTTGCATGCCTGACTAACACAGGAGACTGGGAAACCCTCCAGAATAGGGGACATCTCTTACACAGCTTTATATCTCATCCAGGATGTTGAATGTGCATCATATAAAGCAAGTGTTCAATAAATGTGTAACGAATGAATGTAAGAATGAAGGAAAAACAAATAGATGAATCAAAACGGGATAAAATTAAGGAGCTAACATCTAGGGGGGGAAGATGAAAGGAGGTAAGACTTTTTCAGAAATAAGAGCTAGGAATTTTTAGCCATTTGGGATTTACAGAAAATCAGTATACATATGTATACCATCAGTCTTTTTAAATGGAAGTTCTCTGAGGTCAAGAGGAAGAATTCTTAGATCAAACCTGGGAATGACTCAAATCAACGGCAGAAAGAAGTCCTGAGAGTCTTGGTTTACCAGGCGAAATCCTGGTAAACAGGTCCTGGCAGGAAAGGGCTTCCTCTCAAAGATGCCACTCCTCTTGCACAGCAACTCACTGTGAGCTGCCCTTTGGCCAGTGACAATTCTTAGTCTTCGGGCACTTTTACGATGCAGACCATCTCTCTGTCTATATCATTCCTTGTCTACTACTCTGAGTCGTGTACCTAAGTATTATGTAGCTTTGTTCTGTATAAAATCCTACTTCACTTGGGTACACAGAAGAGTCTTGTAGCTCACCAACACCTAGGCTGGCCTTAGCTTCCTCCTCTCCAAAGTAAGGGAGAGGAATTCTAAATAATCCAGAAGCTTCCTTCCAGCTCTGACATTCTGTGATTCTAATGCTAATAATGGTAATAGGTTATCCTGTTAGCTGGTGGGTTGTCAGCTAAAAATCATTAGTCCATACCATGGGTGAAAGTCTTGTGACATCATAACTCAAGGTGACTGAGTTATTATCAAGTGGTGGTTGAGCTGCAAGAAGCCACCCTCCTAGGGATCCACCTGGCTTAGGTAAGCAGCCGTGGCACAAACAAACAGCGTGTTGAGCATTACTGCAGCAGACTGACCTCTCAGATGTCCTTGAGCCCATGTGGCCAACAGAGCTAAAACATCTTAAATAGCTCCTAGGTCTCCTAGGCTCTGTTTTGGCAGATGTAAAAATAGAAGAACATTGTGGATTAGGTCTTTTATAAACTTTAAACTGGAAATACCAAAACACAAGCTTCCCCCGGGGAGAAGGAGTAGGAGTTTGTCATCCGTCTTGTGCGAGGGAGGCAGCAAGGTAATTGATACGCCTGTTATTTATAGCCAGGCGGTGATATCACACCGGTAATTTGAGCTGTATAAGTAAGGAGTGTTTTTAATTTCTGAGTAAGTCCTGGATCATATTTAAACAATATCAAGCATCCAAATGAGAAAAGAAATCTTTATGTAATAAATGAATGGGAACATGAATGAATGCCTGACCGACTTGATGTTATGCAGGCAAAATAGCTTGTAATCTGATGGAATGTTACACACCCACATAGATCACTCCTGACATTACACAGATGTGACCTGACGCTTTGTCAGAGGTGAACCTCTCATACAAAATTATGAGCTTTGGAGACAGGGTGGTGAATGGGTTGGCTGGAAGCTGGGTTGCAATGTCCATGTATACTCTACTGCTGTGAAGTTTCCACTTAGCGTACTGGCAGGCAGTCACTGCAACGCAGCACACACTTGTCCTGCCAGTGTGTCTGTACGTGAGGAGCTCCTGGCTGCACGATGACTCCAAGACATTATATTCTTAGCCATGGAAATAGCGACAGCATTGCAAAGATGCATGCTGCTCTCTACCCCACATTATAGTTAGTGCCTTCTGCACCTTATTCAGTCACGGTGAAGTGTCTGGAGATTTCTTGGCCCTATAAAGTGTGTGTTCTCATTCAAAGACAATTTCTGGCTTGCCTCTGTCCTCTTTTCACAAATGGCATTATGAGTTCATTTATTTCATTAGTTCTAACAGAGAATAGGATATCAAGGTCTGTCTGATATGCTGAATTGAATTCTAAGGGAAGGGTTACTAGTCCATTTTTATACATTGGAAATAAGTCAGGAAGATGTTCTGCCATATATTTCTTTCTTCACCATTAAAAAAAACTAGCATGTTTAAGTTTTTCTCTTCATTTTAATAATTTATGCCACTGAGGACATCTGAATGCAGCTCTTAAAAATATTGTTTTATTAATTTGCATTTGACTCATATAGGGAATTACTAGTGATCAGTAAATGAACGCTGGGGATTCATTTTAAGTGTTTTTCAGCTTTTGAAAGAAATTAAAACCCAAACTAAGACAGAAATCTTGTAAGAAAAGCACATGGTAGAAAGTATGATTTTTGGAGGTGGGGGTGGTGATTAGGCTTATCTATTTATTCATTTGATGGAGGTACTGGGGATTGACCCCAGGACCTCATGCATGCTAGGTACACACGCTACCACTGAGCTATACCCTCCCCACAAAAGAGCATGAGTTTTACAACCAGACATCTCTGGCTTTGAATTCTAAGTTTGCTCCTTACTAGCTCTGTGCGATGAGAAGAATGACTCGACTTCTGTGAATCTTTGTTTCATCATCTTTGAAATAGGAAAATACTATGTAGGGGAAATTTATTTTTAAAAATTTAAGGTGATAAACTGTCCTAGGCCTAGTGCAGTGAGCCCCACACTAGGCATCAGTAAAGACTCATTCCCCATCTACTCCTCCTCCATTCTTAGGAACCTTAGATTTTGTTGAAAAAAATCTCTCTGTCCCTTTTAATTTCCACATCTAGTAGAATAATACTTGTTTCCAGGCTTTAGCCATTATTTTATTCAGATCCAAAGTGCTTCACAAAAGAAACTTGTTTGGAGCAGTTGCCAAGCAGTCGAGCCCGGAGAACACTGGGTCGCCAACCTGTGGAGGACTTGCCCTGTACCAGTTCACAAATGGAAATGAAGCTGGCGGTTCTTACGCTGGCACAGTCCTGAGGTGCAGCTGTACAATAAGAGGAATGAGAATGAGTTAGAATCTCTCTACTGGAAAGTTCTCAGAGGCTTCCCTAAAAAATTGTTGTTATGGTTTCTGGCCAAGAGCTCTGTGAACCCAGTTTCTTATTACTTACTTATCTTATTAAGCGAGAATCTGTTTCAGAAGCTGTTCATTCAGCCTTCCATGCAATGTGTTCTTTCTACAAGTTTGCCCTCCATCCAGTTTTAACCTAGGGAAGATAGGATATGAAGGGTATATTATTTGTCCAAACAGATACACTCAGCTCTACAAGGAAAGACTAGTTAGTGACCATTCGACCACTGTGTGTAGGAAGCAGTAGGCAGAGACTATTACTACTTCTTCTGAGGTTACCAGTATTCTTAATGCAAGCAGAGAGCAAGGCAGGCCCAGCTTACGTGGTAATTCAAGTCAGTCCAGGAGGCAAGAGCTCTCACTGGACGTCACAACAATGAAACTCCCAAACATTCTGATTGTCTCCTGAACAACATGGGGAGCTCTAACTTGACTCTTAACTAAATTCTCTTTAGACTATATCTATATCCATTGAATGAGCATAGAAAGTAAAATCCTGTAAATCAAAATATGCATATGTGATATAAAACATATATAGAAATAAGTAGTTCCAGTTTTCTGTCAAATCATGACTAACCTGTACTCAAGGGATAGGACATGCTAACAAATCAAGGTAATTATTTATTTTTAATTTAATGAAGGTAAAAGGTTGGAAAGGTTTCTTGCCTTTGAGTGATGTATCTTGAGATGTTGTTTAAAATGTGAGCATTATATGCAGGGTAATAGTTCCTTGCTTTTAGGTAAGGGAACTGAGTTATATAGGCTAGTAGGGACCAGTATATAAGCTAGTAGGACCATGTTAGTGACACTACAGTATCCTGAGGGAAACAGGGAGCCTTTGGAGACCCAACTAAATGTCACAGTGTAGATCTGACACCACCTTCAGATCTGATGTCTGACTATTTCAACAAAGAACAATCAGTGTTGTAGACATCCCTAAAGTTTCTGTTATTATTATAAATAGCACATAAAATCTGATTGGTCAAACCTACTTCTTATGCTTATACTGTAGATGCAAAGAAGTTTGTGGGTGTGAATTTTCTGACTTCTACCTTCAGGAGGCAGGACTCATAGTGCGAGCAATTACAAATATAAAGAGAGGTATTTAAAGGAGTTGGACAACCACAGATGATGAACGTCCACTCAATAGCAGATTTGGAGAAGAAAATAGGTGAAGTGGGTTTTTAAGGGAAGATTAAATTTGATCTGGAAATATTGAATGTAAATGTTAGGGAAAATACACAGGAAGACATATTGAATAGGCTCTTTGGAGCTAAGATTGTTGCAGGAAAATGGGACATGAGAGGATGGCCATGTCCCAGGTCTTGGGCGAGTCCCTGGGACAAGCCCCATCAAGTGGGGGTCTTTGGCTTCATGCCGGAAAGAATTTAAGATTAAGCCATAGTAAAGGGAAGGCAGGTTTATTCAGGGAGATACACACTCCATAGACAGAGTGCCAACCATCTCAAAAGGCAAGAGATAGAGACAGCAGGTGAGTGGGGGCCTCAGAGCATGGGGTTGTCTAGAAAAGTGAGGTAGCCATGAGGTGTGGGGGTAATTAGTTTTTATGGGCTTGGTAACTCCATGTGCTAACAAGTGGGAGGATTGTTCCAACTACTTTGGGTAAGGAGCAGGGAGGAATTGGGCCAACACTATTTTTTGCTCTTTTATGGCCAGCTTTGGAACTGTCATGGCACCTGTGGTGGTGCCATTTTGCAAGTTAATATATTACAGTGAAGTTCAAGTTCAAGGTCTACTGGGGATTGACTCTCCTGCCATCTTGGGCCTCGTTGGGTTTCAACCAGTTAACCTATCCTCATTTGCTGTGTCATTCTTTTTAAATGGTTGTGCCTGCCCGCTTCCTTCCTGTCTCAAGGTGAGATGTCTAAACTACAGGTATAGATGTGAAAATATTTATAAATAATCCATAAATGTTGAAAATAAGTTGTTACAGACAAAACATCCTAGAAATGGTTAGTATTTAAAAAAAAGGGAGCAGGGTGAAGGTGTGTGGAGGGGGTGGTGATGGAAACTGATAATGGAGCCTTGCAGCAGAGTTGCACCCAAAAGAAATTGAGCAAGGACAGTTTCACAATGGAGAGAATGGAACCCAACTTCCACTGGAAGAATGTAGAGAATATTTGGAGGTAAGGAGGTCTGAAAGGAAGGAGAGATAAAGTTTTACCTGATAAAGATTTACCTGATAAAGATTTACCCCTGATCGTCTGTGAAATTACTGACCCTACACACAATGCAGAGGAAAGGCATCACGATTAGCTGAGTGGTCACCAGCTGGCCCACTGCACTGCGACAGCACTTGAAAAGACCTTCGCAGCAGATTCAAAACATTCACAACCCAGGGTCCATTCAGTCTAATACTCTGTGTTTTACACAAGATAAGTAAGGCCCTAATGGCAAAGTCCTTGCGTGTGGCTAATTCAAAGACCCTTCTGGGTGGATCAGGAATGAGAGTGGTAATCATGGAGTCCTTTGCTTTTACACGGACTGCTTCAGCCCTTACTAGCTCATCCGCTCATCTGCCTCTTCGGTACCTGCATGTTTGATAGCTTTGGTACTTTGGGCACCTTCTGTGGTTATTACCAGACCCACCCTTCTACTCTAACACCAGGAAGAAAGGGTTCCTAAAGGCCATATCTGTAGAAAATGTCACTATCAACATAGCCATAGCTATTTGACCCAAGGGTGAATCCTAGGGCCAAACTAATATACTGTAAACCCTGACAGCTTTTACTTTTTCGTTTTTAGTGGAAGTGCTTGACTTGAGCTCTGATTGCTGAGACACCCACTTCAAAGAGACATCTACTTCAAAGCTGGCTATCTAGAGTCAACACATTGCCAGCCTCAGGACTGGGAAGAAGCCAGGCCACCTCCTCCCACTGAGGCCCCCTTGTTTTAGAGATCTGGGTTGAGTTCAATAACTGACCAATTGGACCATTTACTTTTTCTCTTTCCAAACTTTAAATCCCTGCTCCTGTGTTTAAATTCACGAATAAAGAGTGCACCCCTGAAACCCTAAGCCCCTATCCTTGACCCCATGAAAATCAAAGCTCCAGGCCTGTTTCCCTCCAACCCCCACCATGACCTCACTGCATGCCCCAGGTGTGCCCTGTGCTTGAATCTTGCAATCATAGCAAGAACCACAGGGCTGGTCCAGCCACAACTTTGGTTATTGATAGGCTGGGACTGGCACAAAACAACTGGCCAATCAGAACAAAGAATAGGGGTCCTGGGAGTACATTGAGCTGAGTTCAGTCTCCCTGTTACTGGGTTTCTGAATTGGCCTTCTTCCTTTCTTTCTTGCATCCTCATTTTTTTGTTAATGATTTTGTGAGCTACGTCCATAGTCTTCCAACAGATTTTCTGGTTTTGCTTATGCTAGTCTGAATTGGTTCCTACTGCTCCCAGTCAAAAGAATTTAATGAACGCTCTTAAAATTGGAGCACCTAACTACACACTATATTTTGATTGTCTGTTTCATTGTCAGATCCCCCACTAGACTCTAAACTTCATGGAGGAGGGGAATATTAGTGATCTGTACACCAGTGACTCCCATGAACTTAACACAGGGCCTGACATTTCATAGTTGTGCCAGTATTACCGAGTGAAAGGGTTAATGGGCTTGACACTGTCAACTGTCATTTATAGACCACTTCTACATCCCATTGTTGATTCAAAACAATTTTACAACCTAGGCATTGTATTATCCTCATTTTACATGTGAGAAAACTCAAACAATGTGTGTAACAATTATACAACTAGCAAGACCCAGGATTCAAATTCAGGACTGTTCAACTCCAATTCCAAAAGTGCTTGAACAATGCATGAAATTATTTACCACCATAGTACCTAATTTCCCTTACATAAGAACTGAGGTGAAAAATTCCTCCTTAAATGCAGTGTCAGAAAAAGATTGCCACCGTAACCCAAATTACACGCTTTCCGTGGTAAGATCATGAGGAGTATATAACACCTCATGTGATTTCCTCTGTACCTCGTTTGTCAGAAAACTTAAAGTAAAATAGAATATCCATCGGCAATAATTAACTATAATCAGATGCCTGGTAATAAATATTGATTTGCTTTTGTCAAGTGTTTCTGCACTGCTTTAATTCTTTTACTTTTATATTTTATATTTAAAGAGTTTCAAACATTTTTATAAAGTTGACAAGTTATGTCTTAAAAACTCAAATTAATGTGCTAGATATGAAAAATAGTCGTTGCCTCAACACTAATGGTGAGTTCAGTTCAGTTCAATTAAAATTAATTATTTTATTGTTTCAGTCTCTGAGGAATTTGCAGACACCTTATATGGTCAACTTACTTTCCAATAGAGGTGTGGTTTGTTTTGTTTTTCTTAGGTTCATCTATTAAAACACTATAGGTAGCAAGAGACTTTCTTTTCACTGCCTACCACCCCCACTTGTATTTCCACATGTATCCACCCTTGGAAAATTAGCCCAAAGGGTGTGCATTACCATCTTTTATTCAGTCTTTCTTGAAAATATATTATCAAAGGTTGCCAACAACCAAGAGAGAAAATTATGTTTTTTGTTATTGTTATCAGTATCCCATTTGTAATCTTTTATCTTGATAACATTTCAACTCTTTCATCATTGCAAAATGTACATAGTTTAGAATGAACTAAAATTATTAGTTTCTAAAACAAAAGTATGTTAAAGGTCTATTATGTCCAAATTAGTACTAGAGATTATGAAATTTAATAAAGCAATTAATAAACAGGTTTAAAACTACAAAGATAAGAAATATACAAAGATAAATAACCTGAATATAGTTCTAAAGGTGAGGCTATGTGCTACAGGCAAGATAGAGAGGTACATTTCCATACACATGGTAAGCAAAATATTGATATGTAACTTGACATTAGTCAGTGTAGCATTTCAATTGACAGTGAAAAGACGGCCGACTTCTCTGGGTGGGGGAACAGGGTGAACAGAGAATGTGCAGTGGAGAGAGAAGAAGGAGCGTGGTCTCTGAGAAGTAGATCAGGGAACGAGGAATCATGAGCCACTGTAACCCAGGCAGGCAGGAGGGAGAGTGGACAGCAACACCGCGCGGTGGTCAGGAGCCCCAGCTCTATAACCATGTAACTTGAGACAAAGTCCCAAAGCCGGATGAACAGAGGACTTTAAACGTAACGCTGACACTTCTGAAGGTTCATAATGGATGATGTTTCACTTGATTTTCAAAGTAGCTGATAGTTATATCTTCTGCTGTGTCCCACTGTCTTTTAAAATATAAGTTGCTACATTCACCTGGACAAAAACAGTTGATGATTAATTTAAAGACAGACAGCACAGGCATATTTTCCCCTACACATGGCTTTTTTTCCAGTTATGATATCTTCTTTCCTGGTATTCAATTTTTAAAGACCTCAAAGGAATTATCTCTGAAATATAAATGATGACTGCAGCAGAGAAAAAAAACAGCATATTGATGACTGAGCTCAACTGTAAGAGCAAATGAGCTCTAGCTAGTTATGGCTTGTGTGTCCAAATATGGTCAAGAGGCCATGAGGTCAAAGCCAGCCTTACTTATCTGAAGAATCAGTGGCTGCCTATGTTCCTGTAGGGATAACAGGAAGGGTGTCTGTCACACAAAATAACTCCCCTGAAGATTTGCTTCTGATGTTTTTACATTTTCTCTAAAAAGAGAACTTTTAAGTGAAGATACTCTGCGGGACATAAGGAGTTGGTTTAAATTTACTTCAAGATACAAATGAAAAAGTTTGATTCATTCATGCCAGTAGAATACTCTTGATCTAATGAGATAACTTGATCCTTTATCACAAGTCTCCTTGCCCAGGGTAAGTTTGCGTAATATATCTCAGTGTGGAAAGTCAATAAATACTTTGGTTCACTGACTTCTTACTTAAATAACCTCTTGAAATATAGTAGCAAATGCAACTTCAGCTTTTCCCATCATCCATAACAACATAATTTATGCATCTAGGAAAATTTAAATTGTAACCCCAATGCCTTCAAATTTAAAAGAATTCCAAGTTCCAAAGAGTATAGTCTCTAATCTTGAATAAGCACCATTTCTTAGATATCAAATACTTCATGCTATTGTAGGAGGAGAAACTGTTATATAAGAAGGAGTCTAAAATGGATTTGCTTTTAGATTCTATGTCTATGGATGCAAAAGGCAGTTGCAGTCAGCATCTAAAACCAGCTTTCGAACAGATTCCAGACGAAACTGTGAGTAGTCTCCTCTAGCCAAAACAAATACAGGGACAAGCAAACAGAAGCAGCAGAAGGAGGACATAACAAATTTTTATAACAGTCACACTTCATCAATTTGGTAACTATCTAAGTATCAATGTTACAAGACATATCTGGTGTATATTTTGTGAGCAACACCTGTACTTTAAGTATTACAGACTGCAAACGTGAGTTTCTGTTTTCAAAACTAAATATACCCAGAAAGGAAATTACGAAAATGAGACAAACGTGATTATGTCCTGCTGATGAAAGTGTAAATTTGGTCTAAACTTCCAAGGGAAAAAAAAAATGGAAACAAATATCAAATGTGTTTCAAACGTATTCATGATTTTTTAACACTTCTAGCAATCTACCTAAGGAATTTAATCAGAGATATTTTAAGACAAATGTGGATGTTTTTCACAGTACTCTTCTCAAGAGCAAAAATTAACTCTATGACAAAGGAAGGGTTAAATAAATCCTGCCATTTCCACATTAGGAAATACTGTGGACGCTATAACCATGTTTCGAAAATGTAGTATTCTTTTTAAGAGTTTACGATTTAATGTTAAACTTTTGCAATGTGAGTAAAATTTTACATATGTGATCATCAAAGTTTTTAAAAAAGAAAATAAACCAAACGATGCTATTTCAATTCTTTATAGTTTCCACCAGCAGACAACAACAGCTGCAAAACTTATTGTTAGATTAATCTTAATCTTGCTCATTTAGGTTACATCAGGCAAATCTCTATCAATTTCTTCACCTTTCACATATTTCAAACTGGGTAGAAAAAGCTATCAGATGATCTGTCTACTCATTCCCAGTCCTAACAAAATGTCACAACTTCTCCAAGGTAAACATTCCTGAATCCATCAATCACTTTCTATGTGACATTTTTCTGTTTATTCATTTAATTGAATTTACATACAGTGCTTTCTATCTGCTGGATACTGTTCCAGGTGCTTTACAATGGTGAGCTGAAGTAGCATTCAGAATGTTTGCTGATCTGGGTTTTCTAGAGGCTTGTGTTCTAAGGACAAAAGAGAAAAAAGAAATAAGACCTTGAGACCATTCAAGGTGGAGAGTTAAACTGAGCCCTACCCTCCTACCTCTGTGCAAAGTTGTTATCTTTGAAGGTCTAAGCCTTCTGAAAAGTGATAAATGGGGTAAAATCTTTACAGCCAGAGAATGTGTCTGTCTTAATTTGAGCTATGAGTGAGAGGGAAAAACTCCCTTGAGAATCTGTAATCACAGGCATGTTTCAGGCAGTCTTGGGGATTTACCTTAAACCACTTTGGTGGTTAAGTGCCAAGCTGAGAAATATACCTGCACTGTTCTCGTTGGCGGAGCCCTGGGAGTCTGGCAGAACATTCTCCTCAGAGGGCATACATTTAATGCAAATTTATGCATTAAACTTTGGATTCTCAGAAGCTCAAAAGTCAAGCAACTAACAGTATTTTTAAAAATAATATATTATGATCAATTTGAATTAATCCCAAGCAAGAGTGCAAGGATATTTTAACATCAGAAAGTTTAGAGTTCACTACATTAATATATGGAAGCAAAAAAATGATCTGATTATCTCATTAAATGGAGAAAAAGCATTAATAAAATTCAGAATTTCTATCACAGCAATTCATAGCAAATTAGGAATAGAACAAAACTTTTTTACTGATAAACAAAACCTATCATACACTCACAGAAACTTACCACACCTGATGGTGAAATGTCAGGTTAACGCACATAAAAATGGATACAACAATGCTTACTATCATCAGCATATTGAATATGATAAAGAAAGCTGTAGCAATGCAGTGAGACAAGTAAAAAAAGATAAAGACAAACTAACCAAAGAGTCATTATTTTAAAATGTGTTTGTATGAAAAAAGTATAGAAAATTATTTGATTTAATAAGATAAAAAAAAGCCAGTAACTGGATATAAGAATGTAAAGATATATTTTTTCAAAAAAAAAAGACAATTAGAAAAGATACTTTTAAAGGTAGTACTCATAATAGCAGCAAAAAATGAAAAATAGCAAGGAAGAATAAACCTCATAAAATGAATGTATAACCTTAGCAGAGAAAATATGAAGATTTTACTGGAAGATATTAAAGAGGTAAATCAAATACATGCAGGAAAGACCCCTGTATACTAAAGATGTTTATTATTCTATTCTAACCTGTAAACTTATGTGAATGCCTTTCAAGATCCCGCCCAAGTTTTTTATACAATTTGACAAACTTAATGCATATATATGAGCTAATTGTCAAGAACAGCCAAGACAATTTTGAAGAAGAAGAACAAGATAGAAGGATTTGCCCAGTTACACACCAATGCTTACTACAAAGCAGTGATAACTGGGACAATATTATGCTGGCTCAGAAGTAAATAAAAGACCAAACTTCATAGATGACAAATGGCATCACTAATCAGTAGTGAAAATATAGACAATTCAATAATTGGTGCTTAATAATTGGTTATAAACATGGGTAAAAATTATATCTATGCATCACACCATGCACAAAAATCTATATCAAAGTTCTAAATCTGAAAAGCCAAAGCATAAGACTTTTAGGAATGATAAGAGAGTACTTTATGCCTTTGGAACAGACAGACGAGAATAATTCAGCAGTGTAACTTATTTAAGCAGTTAAAACATAAATCTAATACAAGAGGAAGACTTGCAGCATGAGAGGAGTCCGGCTCCTGGTTAAAACCCTAGGTGTGCTTGTTTAGGCCTGTAATTACAAAGGCTCTACCTGACAGGCCTCATGGAGAACAGTAACTGCCGTCTGCACACCAGATTCGGTGCCCAGTCCTCCCTTTGCAGCTTCTGAAGGGAGCTGCAGTCCAGGACTCAGGCTCCCCTGGTGAGTTGTGCTCTCTGCATATTTGCCTTCATTCCTACATCTCTTTCTCTAAAGCTTTGGGAGGTCTTTGGCACTTCTGCTGGGACCTCCTTATCAGGGAGAGGAAGGGGTACCCTTGAACACTTTTCCCCAGCCTGCCTCAGTCCTTGTACTTTTGCACTTGTAGTCCTTCCCCCTTGCCTGCTCCTCATCTGCCAGAGCCTTTTGCTGGAGGCTTCTTCTACAGTAAGACAACCCCCACGTCCAGGACGATCTACCTGACCCTCCCCCAGTGCACCTGCACTAGGAAAAATGGAAGGGAGGCGGGGAGGTGGTGCTTTCCCCAGTTTTAGCCTTTCCCTTACACCATGGCCTGACTTCCATTTTTGGTTTGTTGCTCTAATGGGCTACTCAGACCCGTGACAGCTCAGCTCACCCTCTCTCCCAGCTCTGCTGAGCTCCTGACACTACATAATAGAAAATGGTTAATACTTAAAATATAAAATGTTTTCCTACTGAGACAGGAGGGAAGGGGGCAGGGCACAACCTTTAAAAGAATGACACAGCAGTAGAAGATTTGACTCCCAGTAGACCCAGAGCTTCATTATACGCTCATCTACTCTTTTGAAATAGAGATTGCTTAAGAATTTAAGACAACCAAATAAACAGCAAAGTTTAGTTTTTCCACTGCTATTTCATAATACTGCATACTCTCAGCCACTTAACTTTCCCTCCTATTGCAAAATAAATTCCATATGTATGATTTCATACATAAAAATTTCAGTATATCTCTCTGAGAAATTAAGAGTCCTAATACTATTTTTATACTTAGGCATATATAGAATGTTAAAGTAATGTTTAAATAAAAATATGCCATATTTCAATACTACTTAAATATATTTACATGTTCCCTAATTATCATAAATTTTGGTTGATGAAATAGAGGCATGATATTTGGAAATAGTAAAACTGGGATTATTCTTATCAGCTCCCATTTGCCTCAGTATTATAGAAATGAGATAGTGGTAAAATATTCAGCTTAAAGTGCCAGGTAATAGTGATTACAGTGATTTAGTGATTTAAAGATTCATCTGATCATTTGTGAATGATGTGATTTTCAGATTCTGAATCCTTCATAATGTGTGGATAATTATGGCAAAAGAGTTATTCACTTACACGGAGTTCTGATTCTTTCAGTAGCAATATTAATGAAATCCTATGAAAGAATGAATATTTTTAGAAAATATATTCTAGGGAAAAAATATAAAGGAATGAGCACAAAGTAAAAGAAAGAAAGTGAAGAACATAAAACTGATAAGAAAGTATAAAACAAAATAAATAAAATCAAACCCCAGGAATAATCATAAATGTCAATACATTAAGCTTTTCCCCAGCAGAAAATGTGCTATGAATTTAAACTTATAAACACCCCCAACAGATGTGTTTTTCATAAACAATATAATAGATGAATATTATTTTTAAAACAGAAGTGATATAACAATTAGCAAGGAGAAAGGAATTTAAGGAAGTTGCATTTAATGAGATTAAGACACTCATTTTATATTAATAAAATTCACAATAAACTCTGTGTGTTTATGGAGAAATTTATATGTACTAAAAACGTTACATCAAAATATATAATATCAAAACTATTTTAATTAAAAGGAAAAAATGACCCAAAATGTAATCATAATAGAAAATATAAACATACCTCTCAGTACTTGATAAAGTGTGCAGAAATTATAATGAAGGTAATCTGGTAATATAATTAATAAGATTTATTATTTTTTTCAAACTTATACCCTACAAACAATACAACTTATTTCTTAATAACCATGGAAAATTTCTAAAAATTGAGTATTTGTTGGGCCACAAAGGAAGTATTTTTGTGTGTGTGTGACTGGCTGAAGCTGCTTTGCTCTTTTTTTTTTTTTTTTCAGTTTTATTAGGTAGAATTATTACAGTTCGACTGCATAAACAAAAAAAACTAATCACTTAAAAATTTAAAACTCAAAGGTTTCATCACTCCAAGAAAAAATTAAACCTGTATTTTATTTAAACTGTAATTTTACCTAAAAATTATAGCAGCAATTTCCTTATAAACATACATTCTTAAACCTCTAAATAAAAATTAAGCAAAATGAATTGTCATACGCTTAAAGTAATACACTCTAATCAAGAAATACTAGAATGGTTTAATATTAGAGTTTATACATGTAATTAATTCAATCAATAAATCAAAGCCAAATTTGTATCATTATCTCATTAGAAGCCACAACAAAATTCAGTAAAATTCAAAACATCTTCTGAAAGAATAAAAAAAGATATTTTCTCCACACGTTAATGTTTATATGGTGTTCTCACTTCTGGTATTAACAAGGTAATTTATTGTAGACTAGCTGTCTTATCAAGAGTGACTAGAAAAGCTGGATAAAAATATAAAATGCTCAGATGTGCACTATGATATTGCTGAGTGAGTTGGCTCCGGGCTGTAGGGTAAACTCATTTGTGTTTGCTTCTCTATGCCACCCGCGTGGATGCTCTGCATGATGGTCACACAGTTTCTTACTCAGACAAGAGGAAATGCAAGGCTTGTACTTCACTGAAATAAAGCAGAGCTCCCTCCATCTACTGTGCTCAAAGGAGGGGCAAGGAAGATGTTTACTCCATAATCCTAGGCCAGTTGAGGATACCAGATTAAACCCAAACCTGCCACAAAGACCGGAGATCAAGTCACAAGCTCCATACAATGGAAATTAATATTTGCTTCTTCCAGGAGTATGTTTCCCTAAAACTGTCACAATATTTCAGATAAACAGTTTCAAAAGTTTCCTTTAAAATGCACACTGTATCCAAGTTTTTCTTCCTTTACACCTTCAGGCGTTGCTTCATAAACCTGCCAGTGTTATTAATGTATCTCACTCTGTTATTCTTTGCTTTACTAAATATGGGAAGAGCAGAGAAGCAGTCCTTAAAAGAAGCAAATGTTACTGCTGTTGAGGGATGAACAGTTCTGCCTTTCCCTTTTCTAATGCACAGCAGGCTTCCCATAGAAGACTCCGGAGAAAAAAATTAAAGAGAGAGAGAGAGCGGTCAATTGAACGCTCAAAAAATGATCTATAGAACAAAAATATACTTTCCCAAAGTCTTAGAAAACATTTTACCCCAGTAAAGGGCTTTC